ACTAGAATAAGATAAAATACTGAAATGCCCTCTAACAAACTTATGGGCTTAAGAAAATAATATAATAAAATATGAATTATTACTAATACCATCCCTTAATTCATATTCCATCAAAACTTGTAACACCAATTCCATCCCTTAATCTGAGAAATTGATCAGTCTTGATAGCTTTCGTCAGAACATCTGCCAACTGCTTCTGAGTGCTGCAGTGTACAACTTCTAACACTCCACTCTGAACTTGATGTCTCAGAAAATGATACTTGGTCTCAATATGCTTGCTTCTCCCATGCAACACTGGGTTTCTGGCAAGATTGATTGCAGACTTGTTGTCAATCATTAGCTTCAGAGGTTTGTTTACTTTAATCTTCAGATCCTGCAACAGATTCAGAATCCACACAGCTTGGCATGCAGTAACAGCACCTGCAATGTATTCAGCTTCACAGGTTGATAACGCCACAACAGGTTGCTTCTTGGAACACCAAGAAATAGGACCTCCCAGAAATTTGAACAAGTACCCAGATGTACTTCTTCTGTCAACTCTGTCTCCACACCAATCAGAGTCTGAATAACTCAGAAGTTCTGACTCATTATTTCCTCCAGAGGGAAATAACACTCCATACTTCAGAGTTCGAATCAGTATCAGAGTCAGAGTCAATATCAGGGTTTACTTCAACTTCAGAAATTCTTAACTCTGGCCTTTCTTCAGAGGTTCTAACATCAGAATCAGATTGAGACTTATCCCAATTCCAAACTTCTGATTCCTTCACAATCACATCTCTGCTGAATTCAATTTTATTGGTTTCTGGACAATAGAGCTTGTATGCACCTGTACTGTGGTACCCTATCAGAATCATCACTTTGCTTCTATCATCCAGCTTCTGTCTTCTGGCTTCTGGAACATGTTTATAGCAAACAGAACCAAATACCTTCAGATGACTAACACTTTGCTTGTCTCCAGTCCACTTCTGCATAGGAACTATTTCCTTCAACTTCTTCGTAGGACATCTGTTGAGTACATACGTTGCAGTGGCAACAACTTCTCCCCAGAGCTTCTGAGGAAGCTTCTTCTCCTTTAGCATGCTTCTCACCATATCAAGCAAAGTACGGTTTCTTCTTTCAGCAAGACCATTGTGTTGAGGGGTATAAGGAGCAGTAACCTCATGCTCAATTCCATTCTCCTCACAGAACTTCTGGAACTCTTTGGAGTTATACTCACCTCCACCATCAGTTCTAAGAATCTTCAACTTCTGACCACTCTGATTCTCAGCCTTCATTCTGAACTTCTTGAATTCATCAAACACCTCGTGTTTGAACTTAATAAGGGATACCCATGTCATTCTTGTGAATTCATCAACAAACAACACAAAGTATTTATTCCCTCCAATTGATGCTACTGGAAATGGACCACACACATCAGAGTGTACAACTCCCAAGGCATGTTTTGCTCTTGGAGCAGCTTCTGATGCAAATGGCAATCTTGGTTGTTTTCCTTCTATGCAAACTCTGCATGACTTTTCAGGCTTCTTAATTGCAGGAATTCCATGTACCAATTTCTTTGAATTCAGATGTTGTAAGCTTCTGAAATTCAAATGACCAAATCTTCTGTGCCACAGCTCACTCTCCTTCTCAGTACTTGTTGCACTAAGACACTCTGAGTCTGCAGTTCTGACATTCACCTTGAATGTTCTATTCCTTCCCTGTTCTGACTCCATAATCAACTTCTGATTACAGTCATACAGCTTCAGAAGATTGTCCTTCATGGTAACTGAGAAACCTTTCTCAATTAATTGTCCCACACTCATCAGATTGCTTCTGATGCCAGGTACATACCACACATTCTGAATCAATGCTATTTTCCCATTATTCAGAGTCACTCTGACATTTCCCATACCTTCTGCATTAAGATATTTGTCATCAGCACATCTGATCTTTGTTCTCTTTTCAGAGTCAAAGTCAACCAACCATTTCTTGTTTCCAGTAAGATGATTTGAACAGCCAGTGTCCATATACCACCAGTCTGTCAGATCACCAGATTCAGAGGCCATCAATAGCACAGATTCGTCATCAGAACTTCTGGCTATATTTGCTTCTTCTGATTTCTTCTCCTTGTTTGACCAACAATCTCTAGCAAAGTGACCAAACTTCTTACAACAGTAACATTGGATCTTCTTCTTGTCATACTTCTCTTTTCCCTTCTGAGCATTCTTTTGTCTATCAGAGGTTGAGGTTTCTGACTTCTGACCACCATCAGATCTTCTCTTGGCTTCTGACTGCTTCTGATACCTCCTATCAGAAATTGCTTTCAGAGCCTGCTGCTCTACTTCCCTTTCAGAAGTTCTCTCAGTCAAACGCAACTCTTGCGCTTCTAAACTGCTCTGCAGCTCTTCAATTCTCATTGTGCTCAGATCTTTGGAATGTTCTATTGCTACCACAATGTAATCAAATTGAGGAGTAAGGGATCTCAATACTTTCTCCATGATTGTTTCTTCAGAAAGAGTTTCTCCACATGCCTTCATCTCATTAGTGATCAGAATCACTCTGGAGATGTATTCAGAAACTTTCTCATTATTCTTCATGTTGAGATTCTCATATTGCTTTCTCAAGGACTGAAGCTTCACCTTCTTCACTGATGCGTCACCACCATAACATCTCACCAGAGTGTCCCATGCAGCCTTTGCTGTTGTAGAGTCTGCAATCTTCTCAAACACGTTTACATCCACACATTGATGAATGAAGAACAATGCTTTCTGATCCTTCTTCCTTACTTCCTTCTGTGCGTTTTTCTGTTCATCGGTTGCATCTGCTGCTACTGGAACATAACCATCAGTGACAAGATCTAGAACATCTTGAGCACCAAATAGTACACGCATTTGGATCATCCAACGATTCCAGTTTTTACCATCAAATACTGGAAGTTTGGTGTTCATGTTGTCGTTTCCGTTCATCTTCTACTTTGCACAATACACTCAGATTTCTCACACAGTGTTTCCCAACCCACAGAATAAAATTCTGATCAGATTTTGTTCAAGATTCAACACGAATCTAAGAATCAAAATCAAACACACAAGACCTCACGTTCACTCGTGTTTCCCGTGTTTCCCAATGAATCTGAACCGGAGCTCTGATACCAATTGTTGGTGCAAAGATAGAATAAATGATGAAAATAGAGAAATATTCTATTAAAGAGAATGACGGCAGAAGAAACAGGATTAAAAGTTACAATGATTGTCACCCTATTTATAGGCTAAAACTAGGGTTACTAGAATAAGATAAAATACTGAAATGCCCTCTAACAAACTTATGGGCTTAAGAAAATAATATAATAAAATATGAATTATTACTAATAAATTCTAGGACATATGTGCATAAACTATTAAAAGAGTGTTTGACTGTTTGTTGTAAATGTATCATGGATTCTAACTTTTCAAGAAAATAAAGACAAAACTTGTAAAGAAAAGCTAGGGATTTCGACAGGGTCGAGATCCTTGTAAAAATGCAAGGTACAAGGGAATTGAATTGCTGAACAAGAATGTAAAATACAAGAAAAAAGACTTTGCTTAAATATGTAAAGAATGCTGCGCAGGATCATACATAATTTCTCACTCACTCGTTTCTCACTCGGATTTGGATACTTTGAATTTTTAGAGTTTTTGTAATGATATTGTCACCCTGAATCTTAACTATAGAACCTCTATATACACTAATACATATCTAATTGCCTACAATAGTTATATTCCTAGCAATCGACGTGTATCTAGTTGCATAGTTTCCACCCTTTTAACTTGCCTCTACGTGTCTCCAATTCATGGATAATACCAAAAAAGAGTTACAGAATTTGATCTCAACGTTTCTCTTCAAACTGCCACTGTCGACCATGCAGTCCTCGTTGAATTCATGGACAATCTGAGAAAATATGCTAAGTCCTCAGCTTCATGTTTAACATAACTGCTTAGACACGCCCTTGGCTAAGGATCCCTCTTGTCAAAATGCTCACACACATCATCATTTTATTAAGTGTTTTCTGAATCCCTTTTCCTCGTGTGAAGCCCATGAAGCCCATGATAGGGGCGTTTTTTAAACTTCTTAACACTGTGTCAAGTAATGGGTTGGCATCATCGTCATCATGGCATCGAAATGAATGAGGCGTAATACAAAGAACGTTTGAATCGACAAACTAATGTGTGCATTGATCTCACACCTTTTCAATTCCAAATTTCCTTCTACTGTACTCAAGAGTTCGACGTCAGGTGAAAATCTTACTATGCTGACCCATTTGTAGTTGTGTCGAACCTGATGAGTTCTCTAACAGAAGCTTTTTCGTCTCTGCAGACCAAGCTCGCAAAAGGTAGGAGTTTTCATATTAAAGAAATTCAAGTCATTCAGAAATACTTTGAAACTGTGTATGATCCAAGTTATCTCAGGCAAACTATGTCTAAGACAGCTAAAACTTTGAAAGAAAAACTTATTGAAAAATTGTCAAAATTGTGTTTTCCTTCTTATCTAACTAATAGATACACTTTTGCTTTACTATTTCACACACCTAAATTTCCACCTTTACCTCCTAGTGAGCTTCCTTTGGCATTTCAACTGCCTTTTTCAAGGTGGTTTGTCTGTGCGTCTTACTTAGAAGTCTTAGAAAACGAATGTAAACAGCCTGTCGAACTGAGTAGTTGCGACTAAATACGACATACATAGCTATCAAGGTCACCTTCATGTGTGTATTGATAATTTTTAAATTTTATCTACTGTAATGCAGGTGATGAAAGTACTTCAAAAACCATATCTTCTTCTACCATACGCATCAAGCTCATTGCTTTGTAAGTACTTAAACTTATATTATGTATAAAAATGTACAAATATTTATGCTTACTATATATTAAAATTAAATTTATATCGTATTGTATTTATCTTCAAATCCTAAAATTCATATTCATATGCTTATTACATAAAAGTAACCGATTATAAGTCCACCATAATCAAACAATAATTAGAATAAGTTTCTATGATCTTCCTGTTAAAGCTTTAAAACAAGCAATGAACTCATCATAATCAGGAGGAAAACGCCATGCATCTGCATTTCCTTTTGACGACGATGTTGTGTCCACAGAAGTTGTCTGTTTCATTTCACTAGAATCAACATTTTTTCCAAGTACTTCAGAAACCATTGTTTTGTTGGAATTGTTGTTAATTTTTTGTTTGATCTGATAAGGAGGTGGAATTAGCAAAAGGGATCTTGGTTTCTTGATTTCCTCTTCTACTTTTTGTTCATCATCTTCAGAAACACTTCCAAATGAACTTGAACTAGATTTTCTTCCATGATGATGTGTTGATGAAGTGTCTGTGCTTGATGTTTCATCATCGCTACTATATTGTTGTCTTGCTTCATTTTCTTTTGACGTATTGAATTCATCACTTTCATATTTGTATTCTTCTCCGCCAGATATCTCCTGTTAAAAAAAATGTACAGTCTCTAATTAAATCAGTTCAGTTGATAGCCATGCAGAAACATCCGACTGCAACGTATAAGTTGGTTACTTACATATAGTATTTTCTTGAGACCCCTTGCATTCCACTTAATAGAGAATTCTTGAGCTATATCATATAATAACTTAATCTTCATTTCTCTTGTAGGAGGATCTCTTCTCAATTTCTCAACAAACTATAGAACAACAATTATTTAAACAAACCTTAAAAAACAATAATTATATATTTTCTCAAAAAAACATTACCTCTTTATTTATGTATGGTTCAAGAGAATTCTCATGTTTTTCTGTAAACACAGTCCTAAGATCACGCAATTCCGGTAAATCAGAAATTCTTGCTGCAGCATATATCAACGACGGTATAGCTTCCTTGCATTCCTCAGGACAATCACTATATAACAAGATCGCGATTTTTTCATGTTTGAGAATTGCGACATAATTAAGTGCATGCATGCATATATAGAAAAACACACCTTTGCTTAATTAAATCTTCAAGATGATCTGATATGCAATCAATAAACTTCTCGATAAATTCATAGCACGATAACATTCTTTCTTCGAAAAGAAGCCATTCGGTCTGTTTCAAATGCAAAGAGAAATTTTATCTTCAAATTCAAAAACAAGCATAGTGTCGAGAATTAAGATTGTCAGATATTGATATCTGCGTATCATGATGTCCAATACTGATGTATCTGCGTGTTATAGTTAGTGTCGTGTCTAAGAAGGTGTAAAGAAAAATATTACCCTTTTATATGCATCATAATCACGTCCTCTCTTAAGAAGTTCTGCGATATCACTCTTCGTAAACTTATGAACAAATCTTCTCTTCTTTTGTATTGTCTCTAACCGCGTCTTTATACACTTCACGTAATATATACTATTATTTTTACAAAATGAAATTAAAAACATAAATTTGAAAAACATTAAGGTAACAACTTTTAATAAAAAAAATGCAGAAAATTATGGTTAGTGTTGTAATATTGTACCATTTTGAATAGAGTTTAGGCTTCAATAGCCACCTTAATATTTGTATCATACTATGAGGAAATCTTGATGGCTAAGAAGGAAAACGTTTTTTTTTTATTGTTGGATATTTTAGAGGCTATGTTGTGGTTAAGGTAAATATAAATGTGTGTGTAATTTTTAGAATGATTGAACATAAAGTTAAGGTAAGAATCAGTATTGAAGAAACCTCAAAGAAAAGAAATGAAGCTTTCATGAAGAGAAAAACTCAAAACTCCATTAAGAGGAGAAAGATAGAGATATAGACGAAACCTTAAACTAGGTAGTTTTATGACCCTTTACTTAGCTCTCTTTTTTAATGCTTACTTATCACTTTGCTTAGTTGCCAAGTATACTCTGGCTGCTGCATATATGATATATGGCCATGGCCATTACACCATGGCCTTAACCAATGCAAAGTTAAAAAGCCTACAAACCTTTGGGCATGATTAAGCTACATTATCATAACGTTGCACGATTAAACCCTAAAAAAAGGGTTTCATTTTCAAAAAATTTTTTTAGTGACAAATTATAACAATGCGGGATTAATCAATTAGGAGATCCGCTCTAATTTTAAAAAATAGTTTAAATTTTAAAAAATTCAATTATAATAATTAAAAATGAGTGATCAAAAATATAATTATATATTAAAAAAGTATATTTAATTATAATTATTTTGACATTCGATAATCTCATTTTTTTCTTAGGTATTGAATTTTTATCATAAATTTGTAGTGTTGTATTTGTAAAAGGTCTTGCCTAGGACAATGTCCTTAGACCGCCTACAAGAGGCGACAATACAATGTCAGCTAAAGGGAGGTATTACCTCGCCCCATGGTCTCCCATCGCCCATACGTGGAAAACGTGGGATAAGACTCTTTTTGGGTAGAGAGAAAGTCCAAATCATTAACTGATCCACGACTCTCTTGAAAATAAAAATTCAACTGTCCACCATTGACTGAGTAGACGGTGACCTTTTTCAATAAAATCATAGGCCCTAGAAGCCCTTATAAATACATCTTCTCTTAAAGGGAGAAGGGAAAAATCCTAATTGACATAACTTAAGTGATACACATTCTCTACATCCAAAAGAGCACAACACTCACTACAGTCTTAACACATGACCAAGCATCATCAGTCATCATCAAAGCATATCACCTCACATGAACAGGTATCCTAAACAACCTCAAAACACAAATTTATAGAGTTTCTCGCCGTTGTGGACAAGTTCTAGCCACCACACCGTGTTATAAATCTACTAAGGTATTTGAGTCTTCCAGCCCTTGTAGGGGAACATGCATATCTGTACTTTTTGAAAAGTACAATGACGTCAATCGTCGGGCCTTGGTAAAATTAAATTGGGCTACACTCATACTCAAATTTCCTTCATCTTCCCACTAAAGATGGCCAACAAAACCAAAACCTACGATGCAAACACCGTCATCGGAGGCTTCACTGGTGGAGGTAAAGCTAGATCTTCCTGAAATAAATATGTGAGGCAGGTGTTTGTGACAAATGTAATATACCTTAGCTTCCCCAGAAATTGCCAAGGGAAAATAGAGGTTAATATCATCTTCTCCAAGGAGGACGCCCTTGGTTTTAACCCCCACGATAACGATCCTTTGGCCATCACTGTGTAACAGGACAACTGGACATCAAACGCATTCTAATAGAACCTAAAAGCTCTACTTACGTCCTAGTTTAGGACGCCTTCCAGAAATTCCAACTCAACATGAATGACATAAAAATATTCAGTGGCTCATTTACGGGGTTGTCATGCGAATATATGAAAATATTGGGTTATGTAACTCTAAAGATCACATGCAACGAGGGCACAAACTCTAAGGCAATTGACATCAATTACCTTATTATGGACGTTTGCTCGCCATACAACATCATCGTAGAGTGAACCTCCCTCAACGCGTTGTAGGAAGTTATCCTCACCCTCTACCTATCCCTAAAATACCCTCTTCTGGGAGAGCGGGGCAGTATAGTTATAGGTGATCAGTAAGTCGTCAAGAAGTGAAAGGATTAAATCCAAACCGAAAAGTTGATACTCAAGATAGAACCAGAACCACCCCCACAGGTTCAAAAGTATGAATCACCCTAAAGAAAGAAGAAAAGGAAGAGTAGTGGATACAAGAGATGGCTTGATAAGTAGGCATGGACACCTGAGCTGACTGTGAATAAGGTTGATGAATAATTTTTGAAAGAGCCACTTGTCGCTACTGCGAAAAAGGGTCGGCAAAGACATCAGAGTCGCCACCATTCGTTATTTATCCCAAAGAGATGGAAAGGAAACAATCAGAGAAAACCTACAGAAAAGGGTAAAGACAGGTCATCGCAACCAAATCTTGGGTTCGGGAGTCGGTTACGCAAGGGAAAGGTATGAGCACCCCTCACGTCCGTTGTACTCAACGGGATCCACGCTTGTTATCTAGTCTATGGGTGAAAAATAAACTATCTACGACTGCTATTGCTAACGGAAAGAACTGACTAGATAGGACATCGTCGCCCTATGTCTACGTATTCCCTCGTGCAATGGGAAAGTCAGAGTCAACGTAGTTCAAGAAACTACGGGTGAAGGTTGCTCGCCAAGAAATCGCGTCTTGTGCCTACGTATTCTCATTTGGCATGAGAAATTAGAGCAAAACGTAGTTCAGGCTAACTACGGGAAAACAGGGTGTTCTCGATCGCACGGAAACGAGAGAAAGGTAGACGATACTAGCGCACACATTCTAGCAGTTAGGTGTATTGCTGCTCGACCATTTGAGACTTAGACGTTACCTATTTGCGATAGAACGGATGTAGTATGTCATGGTTAAAAGGTACGGGGACCTAAAGGATTAGAACAACGGGCTAGTCTCGATTGCACAGGGCAAGAGAAAGGGACGTTAGTTGTTAGCAGGAAAGTCTTGATCGTACGGAAGCGAGAGAAAAGGGAGATTAGTTGTTAGTGTGCTCGCCAAGACATCGCGTCTTGTGCCTACGTATTGTCATCTAGTATGAGAGATCAGAGCAGCCGTAGTTCGACCAACTACGGAAAAGAGTCTCGATCGCACGAGGGCGAGAGAAAAGGGAGCTCACTCGCACAGAGGAGAGAGAAAGGGATCTCGATCGCACGAGGGCGAGAGAAAAGGATCTTGATTGCACGGAGGCAAGAGAAAGGGATCTCGATTGCACGGAGGCGAGAGAAAAGGATCTCGATTGCACGGAGGCGAGAGAAAAGGGAACGAGACGCACACGCAAAATCATAAGACGTAGGAGCGAATGCGTCGCATATTGCCCAAAAGGAATACGCCAAACACTCTAGACGAGAGAGAAGAAGCCCCCCACTCATCATTTCCTACGTATCTATCGCTAAACAGCTAACAACACTCGACGGTTGATTAAAAGATGAATTAGAAAAATGTTACCGAATGGAGTGGTTTCGTTGACCCTTGACATTGCGTGCAATATTTATTTCCAAACTTCTCTTCTTTGATCATTGATGATGATGTTTTGAAATGCGATTCGAAAGGGTCAAAGTGAATTGAATCGGGTCCAATGTGACGCTAAACCGTCGTAGCTCAAATTATGAATGGAAGTCAAACTGTAGGAGGTCACGTATTGATATCTGTGCTATGGACAAGATAGAGAAATGATATTGAAGATCATTCTCCGATTAAATCGTGTCGCACGGACCAAATTAGAAATGAAATCTCGTCTTAACCATAAACAAAATGTCAATTAATCGAAGGTAGATTTCGATAATCCGACGCTTACGGATACAAGACTTCATCGATCCAAGACAAGTCAAAATAAAATCAGAAGAAGAAGAAAAATGAGGAGAGAAAGAGGTGGTCTCGGATCCAACATTACTTATCAATAATTTGAATGGTAATGAATTACGGAAATGTCGCCATCGACCTAAAATAAATAAAAAAATAAAAAGCCCAATAACAAATGAGAAATAACACCATAAAATATAGTTAATTTTTTCCATTGACTATAGACTATTATATTTGTTGCTTAGTGATAAAAAAACAAAAAACTTTGGGACGGCGAAGAAAAATATTGAATATTTTTAGATGTATTACACCATAAGTCAATGTGAATACGGTGAATATAAATAATATTGAGCTTGGTTATTTAATTTTAATTGTTATTCATATGTATAAATTATGGGTCATTCATTTGTAGTCTCTTAACTTAGTTTCTTAGAGGTGAAGAAACCAACATTTTTGTGATGCAGAAGAGGAAATATATAGAAATTTTTTAGATCTATTATACCATAATGCAAATGTGATTATTGTGAACACAACTAACATTGAGCTTAAATATTTATTTTTAGTGATTACCCGTATAGATATATTTTATTGTCATTCATTTATAGTCTTTAACTCTGTGGCTTAGTGACGAAGAAATATGAAATTCGGTGATCGTGAAGACATATATTGTATATATTTACATCTAATTTACAATTATTGAGTGTGAAAATGGTAAATATCAATAAATTTTAACTTGATTATTGTGTTTTAATTATTACCTATTTTATATAAAATATATGTCATGGATTATAGTCTTTTAACTTTGTTTTTCAGTGGGAAAAACCTAAAATTTTGTGATCGAATAGAAAAATAAAATATAATTAATTTTATTCAACTACTATAGTCTATTATATTTGTTGCTTAGTGATTAAAAAAACCCAAACTTGGGACGGTGAAGAAAAATATTGAATAATTTTAGATGTAATACACTATAAGTACATGTGAATACAATGAATATAAACAATATTAAGCTTGATTATTTAATTTTAATTGTTATTCATATGTATATATTATGGGTCATTCATTTGTACTCTCTTAACTTAGTTTCTTAGAGGTGAAGAAAACAAAATTTTGGTGATGCACAAGAAGAAATATGTAGAAATATTTTAGATCCATTATACCATAATAAATTATGATTATGGTTAACACAAATAACATTGAGCTTAATCATTAATTTTATTGATTCCCCATGTATATATAATTTATTTGTCATTAATTTATAGTC